GCGTGCGGGGAGGGCCTCGCCCCCTCCGCCCGCGCTCTCCCGCTTCGTCTTCCCTCCTCCCCGCACTCCCGACTCCTCCTCCTGCTCCTCCTCCTTCTCCTCCTCTCTCCCCCTCCTCTCTCCTCCTCCTCCCTGTCCTTCCTCCCTTCCTCCTCCTCCTCCTCTTCCTCCTCCTGTGTGGTTGGCATGCGTATGTCAGCCTCTCCTTTTCCTCCTCCTCCTCCTCCGCCTTCGTCCCACCTTTCTTGTGTGCCGCCATTGTGGCTCACAAGCGCCCTTGAGTCATCTGGCGCGCAGGCGGCGGGCGCGCCTTTGCCCCCGTGAAATGAAACGGAACGTGCTCTCTTCTAGCACGGGTCCCCCTACTTGTGTTTCGTGCTTTTTGTATTCCACACAGTTGCTCCCGTACATCTCCACACTGGCAACGGAGCGCGTGGTTCCGATCCACGAGGGGAGTCAGGCGCGGGGCCGTGGTTCGCCGGCTGCACCAGCTCGGTTGAACAGTCCTCTGCGGGAAAGGCTACGCCGTTCATTACGACTTATTTGGGAGTCCTTACGGCCAGATCTTCTGATCACCAAAGGGGACAATCATCTGAACAACCAGGGACCCAATACATACCGAACGACCTACCGGACAACGTCCTAGTACTCGATTGTACTCTTAAATAAAGGAACTGCAGATGTGGCTCGCGACTACCAGAACCTTGAGGAGACAACACGGGTACCTCATTTACTTCTACGCAAGAGACAACTTCAATATTACCATCAACGAATTCACCGAAGATCAGTTGTCCTCGGACGGCAGTGGGCAGGGTGTAGTCAAACATCTCAAGAAGTCTTTCGCCGAATACCCAGGCTGCAGGATGCCGAAGGCATGTGGACAGCTCTTCTATTCTGACGACGCCAAGTGTAAGCGAGACGAGTTTCTGGTCAATTATATGGCTCGCAAGCGATTGCTCTTCCGAGAACTTAGGAAGCACGTCATCTTACCGGGGGAGTTGAACGAGCACAGAACATCCAAGTTCAGTGAAGCCGCATGGGATACGGCACAGGACTCGGGGGTCATATGGTTTTGACGTGGCGCGCGGGAAGCTCTGTAAGTTCGAACGACCACTACCCTCAGGCAGAGGCTGCCCTCGTATCCATGGAATGAGTTCCGCCTCGCACTTCGTCGGGTACCAAGGAGATGAAGACGGATATGACGACCAGGAGTCTGACCACGACGACTTGCATTATATTATCATGGAACAGCATTCGTTTACCTTGGCCCAGTCCTACGGGGAAGACGTCTTGAATGAGGCTCTCAGTCACATGGACAGCGAAGGCGTATTTTTTCGTAGCTGGAGACATGTCATAGAATGTGATTTTGGACGAAGACGAGGCTGTCGCCATCCACGCCGACTACAGTCAGGTACGACAGCATTCGCACATGCGGAAGCTCGGACGAGACTTTTGTTGAACCGTCTCCTCCTGAAGGCAAGCCCGATGGCCCCCGCCAGGGCAAACGTCGAGGGCAACGGACTGGACATGCTCGACCGGATTAAAATGTAATTTAGCGAGCCGCTCGAAGTGTACCCAGCGCGGGGACAGGGGGCACTTGGCTCGGAGCTGCACGGGCGAGCCAGACGAGCGAGGACGCAAACGGCAAGCATGTTGCGGTGGTTTCCCGCCTGCCCCTCTCGATGCAGATGGCGCCCTGCACGACGCTTGTCAATGGGGGCGGATCGCCCAGTCTGGAGTTCGTTCTTGTACCATTCTTTTTTTTGCGACTGCCGATACTGGCGAACAGACTTTCATCGGACTTCGGGCTCAGGCGGGTTTCGGCATGGTGGGCGCTGGAGCTTAACACGGAGTCTGTGGCGAGGATCAATCTGAGAAATGGTGAGATATCTGGGAGACACCTATGGTTTGAAGTCGGCACAGATGCCGACTCTTGACATGGACGCCACGGGCGTCGGATGATCGTCCGGGTTCCTCTGCGGTAGGACTTTGCCTGTCGACGTGACAAAGATCTGCGGTTCTCTCGCGTCGCACCTGATAACTGGAGATGCGCCCTTGCTGCTTCCAGTGGGGGAGCTCAGGCGGCTCGGTGTGATTCTTGACTTGCCAGATAGCGCTATCACTTGGCAATCGACGGCAGTCAACTGAGGGTGAACGAGGTAGGGGCAGGCACACGCATTGCGAACACTATTTTTGATTTTCCCAGATGATGGTTGGCATGGAAAGAATGGGACAATCAGAGCAGTCTCTCCGAGGGCCCAGGGATGCTGCCAGGTCGTCGAGCCTGAGGGCGCCGCATCCTGCGTGAATCCGCGGGTGCCCTCGGCTCAAACCTTTCTTTTTTAGCCAACTGCCTCCTCTCTTGACGTCTCGCGCGACGTTGGGCCGCGCGGGGCGCGCCCTCGCCGCGACGGAGCAGCAGCCGGAACCTCCGAGCACTGGCATTTCCAGCCAGTCCGCGATGACCCCAGGGAAGCGGGCGTGGAAATATTACCACTTGTGCCTGAAGCCATTCACCATCCTGAACCGCGTGGCCATGATGCGCCGCGCGGAGGCACGCATCGGGACGAACGTCTACAGAGACCCGCTCGGGGACGCCAAGAGTCTGGACAACGAGGCTGCACCATCCACGCCTCAGACCCGCGACCATGGACCCTCCTCTCGCGTCCTGAAGGTCTCCAGCGGGGAGCGGTTTGCGGCGGGCAAGGGGCTGGGCCCAAACGGCGCGGGCGCCGGGGAGACCGAGCAGGCCGCGCGCGCGCCCCAGGAAGTCCACGCGCCACTGGGGTAGCGCCACGGCCATTTGGTGGACGTGCGACGACTGCCAGATGCGCTGGGCGCCACTCCCCGTCGAGGGCATCATCGGCACGGGCGCGCCATTCCACCGGGAACGGGCGACGTTCGGGACGCGCGCGCTGCGCCTTCAAGGAGGTCTACGAGATAGACTTCCGGCGCCGCGAGCGGCGCGTGAATACCCAGAGTCTAGCGAGCCAGCGACGCATCGAAGTTTCAGGCGCCCGGCGATGCTTTCGGCCGACCGCGGAGGAGAACGACGTCTGAAGGATTCTCGAGGAGAAGATGTCTGCGACGGTCGCGGGGCGCATGTCCGAATGCATCGCGAGCCCCGCGACGGCTTCCCCCCTTTCCGACGCCGTCGGCGCGCTTTTTGCTGACGTTTTAATCGGCGAGCGGATGGCAGAGGTTGTCTAACTCAGATGGCATTGCCGAATTCATTCAGGATGCCTGGTCAGACTCCCCCCGCGGCCGCGCTCTGGCCACGTTGCGGACTGACCGCATTTTCTTCCACCGCAGAGCTGCGATTGACGCGATGTTCGCCGGCGCCTTTCTGGCGAGCAGTTGCCCCCAGAGTGCCCGCCCCAGTCAGGTCGGGCAGCTTATCTCGCCAGAAGCTGCCGACGCGGGCCCGGCTGGCCCAGCATTTGGAAGGCGCGTGGCTCTGTTTGGAGGCGCTCCAGGTGGATTCTGTCAGCCTGCCATCTTGCAGGGCTCGGTTGAAGCAGCCGAGGCCCGCGAGGGACAATGGCGACTGATTTTGTCGCAAACCACCAGTGGAGCACATGCTTCATCCTCGGAGCTCGACGAGGACGGCACTGGCACGATTCCTGATCAGCAGGCAAAGCAGATCAAGCAGGGACTCTTAGCGAACAATGCCAGTCTCAGTGTTCCCTTGGAAGCGGCTTCTGAGGAGGATGGGCCTGAGTGAGTTCCAGTCGATGACCCCAGCGCCGACTTTGATAGCGATGATAAAGTACCCGTTCAGCCTTAATGGACACCTACAACAGACCAGGTAACCGATTTCAAGCTTGACTCGCGACGGCGCTGTTCCTTGAAATTGAGAGTTCGCTTGACTTCTGAGACGGGGCAATGCTAAGACTGGAGTAGCACGCTGGGCATGAAAAGCTTCAAGCGCGACGAGCGCCACGCGCGCGAGCGACCCTATGCTCGCCGCCCTGCTGCCGCTTTCAAGTCTTACCGGTTCAACCATGTTGTCGGCATTGGGTAAGGTCAAGCGTCCGCTGCATGATGCGCCACATCTCTTGATCAAGCTTTTATGTTGGGGCATGTCTTCCCAGTTGGTTGGGCGTGTGCTGGCAGGTAGGTCAGCAGATTTAGTATGGCAAGCACGCTCATGGGCACGTGTTTGGCATGCCCGGAGCTGTTGCTATAGATCCTGGAACGGAGTCTCAGGGAACGTTCGCCCACAACATGCAAAACAACGGCGCGTGTCTGTTTCCGACGGAGGCTCGCGCTCCACGGCAAAACGGTCGCACGGAGCTCGCTGGAAAATAATGGAGGCCACGGCTGAGGCCGCGCGGGTATCCTCGTGGATTTCTATCGCGAAGGGTCTTCGATGCGAACTTCGAGATCGACGTGCCACGAACCGAGAAATCCGCGTCGCGACGACGATAAAGACAAGCCCCGATTTGGCCGTATCATTGCCATGACTGGTGCAAGATCTCTGTATGATTTTGTAACCATCGGGAACAGTTCGCTTCGACCGAGAAGCGAGCAGCCTTGGGGATTGTCGCGATTCGAACGTATTTGGATAACCTCGGCGATCAGAGTCGCCAGCCCCCGCGCGAACTGGCCCCCGCGGATGGTTTGGCGAAGTTGATCGGAAAAGCGCAGCCTCTTTTCTCGACTCACGCAGACGGCTAAGTTCGGCATCGCCAGAGAACAACAGGACACGTAACGGAGGAGAGCATATCGGCTAGACATGGGGAAGCGCAATCCAAGACTAAATGTTGCGAGGGAAGCTCCTCCGTCTAACGCTGCATCATCCCGTGCGTCTCCCACTGCGCCTCCGAAGCGTTCCACCCCCTCTACTCAGCCTGCCGTCGCCTCCGCTCGTTCGACGCGTGATTTTCTTTATTGTCCTCGTCGTGCAGTTGGTGCGTCAGCGCGTCGCGATGCGCCGTCGCCCACAGCGTTCGATTTTGGCTTCGCGGCCGGGGCCTCCCCTGCCCGCGGAGCCACTC